GCCGAGAATATGGAAAGCTATTTCACACAATAGTGCAATTTTGCCAACATTTAAATAATAAGTACGTTTGAATCTTATGCAACATTTGGGTTTATATAAACATCTGAAAACTGGCTGCTTGCTTGAACCTGGTCTCACAAACTCCGCATTTTCATTCACGTCTTCACATTACAAATGACCCGTATTACGCCAACAACTGGTTTTAGAATTAATTAGTTTATTTCCGATGCAAAGACCTTATAAGTGAATCAATATCAATATAAAAATATGTCATCTTTAATGATTCCTCATGGGGTTTTTGATTATGTGATTACTTGGCCGATTTTTTTTTAGTGATTATTTGATTACTAGACCAAATATTTCATGATTATTTGATTATTTAGGACTGTATTTTAGATTAATTGATTACCAAGTTTAAACAATAAATTTGTGTGTATAGCATACATATAAAATTTGGCTTGAAAGACGTTATTTTTTTCGCCTCGCTCCGCTCGGTAAAATTGTTAAGAATTAAGTCCGAAGATTGAACGCGTTTGTCCAGTAATCTTATCAAAATTCATACAAAACAGTTGTATAAGTATAACGAAATCAGAGATATATCTTTTAATTAGATTGGTTCGTCTAACTTAGTATTTTTATCTCAAGTAAATTTACTAACTTCTTTAATAAAGGATTTGAACAAGAATGTGTCCATAGTACATGAATGCCCCACTCGCACTATCATTTTCTATGTCCAGTGGACCGTAAATTTGGCATTAAAAATAGAAAGATCATATCATATGGAACATGTGTACTGATTTTCAAGTTGATTGGACTTCAACTTCATCAAAAACTACTTTGACCAAAAACATTAACCTGAAGCGGAACAGACGGATGAACGGAAGAACAAACGGACGCACAGACCGAAAAACATAATGCCTATAAATGGGACATACATTCACAAGATGTGCTGAAATTGAATGAAGGTCTTGTAAATCTCAATTAGACCATAACAGGCATATCCAAATAAAGTTCCCTGAAGTCACAAACAACTTCCCTCACTTGTAGATCTATTTCCACTACTTCTGCAATATTGTATTTATCAATAATAATATAAATAGAAATTGCATGCATGTAAATTAAAAACAATCAGGGTAAACTTATCAATCCTTTAAATAAACTTATTTTAAAAGGTTACCAATTGAACACTGTAAATAGATCTTTGAATATTGTTTTTATTGGTATAAATATCAATTTTGTTATCAGTAACTTAAAATTATACTACATATTATTGTTATACACATCAAGGTACTACAATCTGTTGATACCTATGATTTGGCATTGCATAAGGTCATGTCTTTCTCTGACTGTTAATGACGTCTTTACACTAAATCCATTGGATGTTGGATGTGTACTGATTGATATTTTAGTCTTAGATACATGATTTTTGTATTAGTTATTATTGGCTTTAAACTAGCTGTCAGTACTGCGATTACTCTCAGATCTGTACTTTGTGTCCTTTTTTGTTTGTTAAAGATGTATAAATACCCTGCCACGTCCGGTCTGTGCTTTTGTTAGATGTTTTTTTTCAATTTTGTATCGATCTGATATGTTAAGCCCTTTTCAACTGATTTTTATAGTTTGTTCTTATGTTGTTCTGTAACAAAACTCGTCCCAGGTTAACGGGAGGGTTGAGCGCCCACTTGCATGTTTAACCCCGCCACATACTGTATGTGCCTGTCCCAAGTTAGGAGCCTGTAGTTCAATGGTTGTCGTTTGTTGATGTCTGTCATATTTGTTTTTCGTTTTATTGTGTTATACATTAGGCCGTTTTTTTCTAACTGAACTGTTTCATATTTTTCATGTCAGAGCCTTTCATAGCCGACTACACCCTACTGTTTTTTTTCTCATTGTTGAAGGTGGTACGGTTGCCTTTATATAATTGCTTACATCCACTTCATTTGAACTTTGGGTATAGTTGTCACATTGGCAATCATACCACATCTCCTTATTAAAATGTTGAGGGGGGAGGGGGGTGAAATTTGTATTTCTTAGGAAAGTTCCAATGTTTTCCTCCCAGGTCACCCAGTTTTAATTGTATATTTTCTCATTTTGCTGTGCCCTTGGATTTGTGTTTAAGGCCAACCAGAGCTTACTGCCTGTTGGTGGGTAGTTGAAGACCATATGGTAAGCTCTAGGTGTCTTTTTGTGTATTGTATATGGTGTTTTGGTGATGTCTTCATGCAATTGTCCCTTACTTTATATAGACGGCTTATCAGTCAACCATATCTATCAAAGACGACAAATGATGGCCAAAGCTCTCCTGGCCTTTTGTATAGTCAGGCGAGAAACAAGATATAAACGGACTTGGCTTGGTATAAACATGTATATTTAGTAAATTCGTATAAATTCAAGTCAAATTAATATTTCAAAACAACATAAAAATATAAAGTGTAAAAAAAAATTTTTTTTGATAAAATCTTGAAAATATTATTGTGTTTGTGTGTGGCCATGGATAAAGGCATGTTTTTCAGTCTGGGTTAAAAAAATCATTGACTTCGGGTACAAATTCCTGCCCCACCCCAGAGAATCAAATGGTTGCTTCCTTGGGAACAATAGAGATTGAAGATGTTGAGAATGAATAATTTTATGTTCTGCGTCGACGTTAAAGGAACATCAATCAGTCAATCGATCTTTATGACTATGGCTTCAGTTGTGTAATATTCCTTGTTGTAAAAGTTCCTTTTCTGCTTTGTGTGGACTTACTAAGACTTGGAATAGATCTACGATGACTAATGAACGGTCGTGTATGGTTTGGCAATTTTACATGCCTACCGATGATAAAATTGACAATGGAAATGGGGAATATGTCAAAGAGACAACAACCCGACCATAGAGCAGACAACAGCCGATGTCCAGATATGATACGATGCTACCGGACATAGAAAAAACTGTCCTTTTTTCATGGAAAATTAAACTGTTACAGTATATTAAAGAATACAAAACTAGCTCTCTTTTCTGTAACTACAAATAAAAAGCTGACATGGGTGAGATTAAAGCTAGAAATCCCAATCTCCCAATTCACTTAAAAAGACCATATATAGATATAAGAAGATGTGGTATGAGTGCCAATGAGACATTTCTCCTTCCAAGTCACAATTTGTAAAAGAAAAACCATTGTAGGTCAAAGTACGATCTTCAACACGGAGCCTTGGCTCACACGGAACAGCAAGCTACAAAGGGCCCCAAAATGACCAGTGCAAAACCATTCAAACGGGAAAACTATGCAACGGTATAATCTATATAATAAACAAGAAGCGAGAACACCACATCAACAAACGGCAACTATTGAACATCAGGTTCCTGACTTAGAACGGGTGCAAACAAATGCAGCGGGTTTAAACGTTTTAGTACTCTTATCCGAAACAATAATGTAACATATGACCTTTAATAGTGAAGGGCTAAACTTGCATTGAGCCGTGTTTAGGCCCTAAAATAGAAAATAAAGAGATGTGCATGGGACAAAATCGCACACAATACATAGAAAAAATACAAATTATCATTGAACAGGGCTTTTATTCCTGTTCTTCATCTTGAAAGTAGCTGGAGGGTCTTCAACGAGGAAAAGAACCATTCATACCCTGAAAACAACAGCCACACACTTGGCTATGTGGATTACAATGTTTTGCTTTATCCTACACCCTGGATTTTTTCTCCAGAAGACCTTAGGTACCCAGCTTCCCTTTGCACCTAGTGCGGACAAAAGTATTGCCGTAGATTGTTTTTATTAACTTTTCGGTAATGGTGTGGTAGGGTGGGTAGCTGAGGTCTACTTGAGTAAAAATTCAGAGTGATGTTCGGCTTAGTCTTTTTTATAATGTAATAAGCTGGCAAATTATGAAAGCTCATGTCTTAATTGATAGGCATAGAAATAAAAAGAAAACGTATTAAAACCAATAACATTCTACCGGAGACAAAATAACGTTGGTTTAGGCAACTAGTATGATAGTCTGGATGCGTATTTCTTCATTTCTGTATTCTTTGGTATTCTATTCCATTTTTCTCTATTCTTTAATCAGTGTTTCAGGCCATTTTTCTCTATTCTTCATCATGTTTATATCTTTATACTTTTTGCCAATTATTCTATTCTTTTTATATTTTAACACCTCATTATTCTATTTTTTTTTATTTCTTGGTCCATTGTCTCTATTATTTATATTTTTTGCCCGCTATTCTCTATTCCGTAGACCCCATCCACACCCAGGCTCTAGTTAAGGTCACCATATAGCTTTCAAAAATAAGCAAAACTAACACCGAGTAGGCTCCGAATGGCAAAATGATTGAATGCTAATCCCGGTTTGAATTGTGAAATTGCGGAAATTTGTTTTTCAATCAACTGATCAAGCAAAACACATTATCGTCCTGAATGTTCGTATAATGGACCTTGGTCATGAATTCTAAGCATCTGAGATCAATCTTTCTAAATTTAAAAGTAAAGATCACGCACCCTTATTGTTCAGATTGATAAAGTCTTTTGCATCCGTCGACATTATCTTAGATTAAAGATCTGATAACCTCAGTGACTGTGCATGTATACTTTAACGACCGGGGTAGTTTTCTTATAAGGTTTTAAAAGTAGTAACCTCCCTTGTTAATGTGATGTTGTAATCAATCTTTTTATTTGTACCATCTTTATATAATACTATATTGTAAAATTTAAATTTATGATTCGTTCAATATTTAAATATAATAATTTATTTTTTATTAAAGATATAAACAAGGTAATTTGAAAGGCTTTGATTCATTTATCACCGTAGTTCAATTCATAAGTCAGGCGGTCTATTTTGTCTACATTATGTTGAAAGAACACCGGGGTGTTTACATTGGCATTATTGATGTGATTTCCGAGTATTATCACTCAATACTAATACTTCTAATACAATGAAATGCTCCTAATTGTACTAACTTACCAAATATACTCTGATACTCTCTGGTCAAGCTCTAGTACAGGCGTTCTCATTCCCGCCAATACGCCAACTCTCGTTACCTGGTAACTATTCGAGATCTTATCCTGAGTTAGGTAGTTTACAATGGATCATTCCGGGAACCGGGCTACGCGGTATATCTAACTACCGTACTGTCTACATAGTAATGTCACGTCCATTATACCATATTACACAACACTCCCCCCCACTTTGAAAGGAGTGAGTTTACTTCCTATTCGAATATTCACTATTTGTTTTAGTCCACCCCGTCTGGTCGCACCACGGGGATACAAATAAATCTCCATATATATAGTTATATATATTCCAATGTTGACACATTAACAACATACATATATTTGAAAATTCCACAATTGCTCCGTTGTCGCTCTGCGGAGTTAATTTTTAACTATCATATCATTCCTTGATAGATATATAGATGTATTAAACACAATCTATCACATCTGATGTAATTTCCAATCACAATTTACAACTGATTTTCTATGTCCACATGAATCTGCTCTATTTACATTTCAGAATAAACCTGTCTCCTGCAGGCTGCTTAACTAATTAACAACGTTCACTATTTAGCCATATAGACTTTTGCCATTCTCCATGGTTAATGCAAAAATTTCAGCCACTGGTTGACCCCTTAAACCTGCCAAAATCATGGCAACTTGTCCAATTCTCCGCGGATTATTAATCCGTATGTTTGAAGGAATTGTGCAGTAGGGCGAATCAGTCTCTATTAAAATACGATGATTTGGAACATTCCTGGCGGCATGTATCTGATCCTCGTGGAATTCCTTTACCTTTAACGAAAAACTAAAATACGTATTTGGAAATACCCGACGCCAAGTGTCCATTTGTGTTGTGCTGCCATGAAAACAATGAAGATGGATTTTTTGTTCAGGTTCACATTTGCTTTGCACTATTTTTAAAGCCCTGGTGTAAACTGCTTCAGACATTGTTTCCGTGGCCTGGCCACGCAAATGCAGAATGACTGGTTTGTTTGGTCTCGCCAAACCCAACAATTTGTCCAAAATTTTCTCTTGTGACACCCAGTGTATTGGATTTACAGTTCTGTCCAACCCAATTTCACCTAGCGCAGATACGCGCATGTCTGATAATGCCTCTTGCATCGCTGTAAATTGGTCATTGTTGAAATATGGGGCAGCTTTTGGATGCAGTCCTATGGCAATTTTCCATTTGGAGGTGTCCGGTAAAACCTGCGGATAAGTATCCGGATCACAATAAACCATTACCCCTCCAACCACCTCAACTGAAATATCTGGCGGTGGTATTAATTTCTCCTGTAAATATTGTTCCACAGACATCGCCAAGGAACCTGTGAGTAAAATACTGGCCCTGTCTAAATGAAAATGGCTATCAAATGCCTCTGACACAAGTGTAACCTTTTGTATACGTTTAATGTTATTGTTACTATCTGATGCAGGATTCGATACCTGTATAACAGAATGTACCGGCATATCTGTCTTTCGGCTTTTATTTTCTGATTCTGAACGGGAAGAATCCCGGGATTGTCTTTTCCTGTTTAAAATTTCCCTGGCGTCCATAGGTTTGCCAGCAAGCTGACTCTGTAAATTACTTAAAGTCTTCACTACAGTTTTAACTGTCGGTGGATTGATTTCACGGGCCCTGCCCGATAGAGTAACCATCTGTCTTCCCTCTGTTGGACGACTGCTCTTATAGGATTTCGGCAGTGGTAGGTTTACCAACATCTCCGCCTTCCTCTTTACTGGAGACTGTTGTTGCTGTCTTAGGGGCAACACATACTCAGTTCCAATTCTGCGGAATTCCGCTCTCCTACTTGGAGATAACTGTGACAGCAGTGTTATTAGGATACGCCACTGCATTAGAACTGCTGGCGAATTCACAGGATACATCGTATAAATGTCCTCTGCTGGTGGGTACCAGTTCATTACCGCAGTTAAATTCCTCATCTGGTCCTGGCATCTTTGCATCATTGTGCAATTTCGTGGCAAGATATTGTTACTATTTATGTAACGCACCAAATCATACACTGTAGCACGTGGACCAACAATCCACGAAGCCAATTTCTGGATGGCTGCTCCTCTTAGTTTTTGAAAACCTGGCTCCTTCTCAAATTGATCTAAGGGACGGTCTTTAAAAATATATGGCAAGTGATACTGCCAGCAGTGGTGTTTTAACTTTTTTGTCGATTCTCCACACGTTAATATTGGGCAGGTAGAATGTTTGTTGCTGTCATGGTATTTTCTAACATCAGGCTGTTGAACATCCTGCTCCTGACTCGGCCCTTTTACTTCCGGCACCTGTACCTCGGTCCCTTTTGCTGCTGGTATTCTGACGGATCTGGTTCCAGAACCGTCAGTTGATATAACTATGTCTGCCTGGTGTTCTTTTTCAAGAATAACACGTGACGAATCACGTTCTTCTTCCACTGGGGCAGTAGGCTCTTGTGGAACCTGAATATCTGTCCAATCTATATAATTTATGTCATGTAGATCAAGAACATCTTCTGGACTTTCTACAGGTTCTGTCTTGAACTCTTGATCGTGACTTTCACGTACATCTCCCCGCTGTTCCCCCGGGGGGAAAGGCAATGGTGTCCCTTCATATGCCTCTGAAGGTGTAGGCCAACTGTTCTCATCACCCTTACTTGGCCTTTTACTCATGATTAATCAATCCAAAATACACAATCTGAAAAACACAATAAAAACTATTTATAACATATGCTAAAAATGTACATCATACTACTGGTATTGCCTTAAAATATAAATTTACCTTGCGGTGCCAGAGTCCTGGCACCGTGGACATCTAAACTTTACCATAGTGTCCGCCAGCTCTGGTGTCAAATCTACACAAGCTCCATGGTACCACTCATGACAAAAATCACACTGTATCATAAACAGTCCATCATCTGGTTTTCTGCACAAACAGTACAAGTCTGGGTTAGTCGCCTTGGTCACATCTTCACCGTCCTGTAACCGGTGCTGGCACTGTTTTAACCAGGGTGGTACTTCTCTGTCTTTACATGGCTTTAAACGGTCATGATTTATTGTCAGTACAGTTTTTTGTAATTTTATCTTGTACACATACGAAGATAATTTGGCACATACAAGTCCTGGACCTTTCCAAGGTGGGTCCAATTTCTTCGCTCTACCTTTAATTTTTGCCGTGTCTAAAACATAAACTAAATCTCCTATTTTGTATTCTCTCTCCAGAATACGTACATCATAATCACGTTTCATGGTATTCTGTGTAGTTTTTAGCGTGTTGCGCGCTATTTCATGTGCAGATGTTATGGCATCTCGGAGTCTTATCACATACTCATCTTGTGACTCGTCTGTTTTAGCACCAGGTACGCTGTACAATAAATCAACAGGCTGGTTAACCTCTCTCCCAAGCATCAGCATGTTTGGCGTAAAACCAGTACTTCTGTTCACCGACGATCGAACAGCTCCTGCCAACTGTGCCAAGTGTTCATCCCAATTGTCTTGTTGTTTAGACACGAAGCAACGGACGGCGTCCATTAAGGTTCTGTTGCAACGTTCTGCTTGTCCGTTTGAGGATGGTCTGTACGGAGTAGTTCTTGCTTTGTGCATTTGCAAGATTTCACAGATGGATTTGAAAAGCTTGCTTTCAAAATTGCGTCCTTGGTCTGTAAAAACCTGAAATGGGAATCCAAAACGAGAGAAAAACTCGTTCACAGCAGCTCTTGCCGTATGTTCTGCAGTTTGTGCTGGTAACGGAATACATTCCATCCATTTGGAAAACTGATCAACCATAACTAGTACATGGGCATTCCCAAATTTCGTCTCTGGCAGTGGTCCTAGAAAATCTAAGTGGACACGCTCCATTGGTGCACCTGCATGAAACTGGGTAAGCGGACATTTAGCCTTCCTGTTTGGCTTCTTGTGTAAATTGCATGTACTGCATGTTTTGACAAAGTCTCTAATTCGTTGTGTCATACCATACCATTGATATTTTGCCTTGATTCTCAATGTGGTCCTATTCATACCTTGGTGACCTGCAGCAGGAATATCATGACATAATGATATCACTTGTTCAACAAGATCTCTTGGTACCACAAGTCTTGGTGTTCTGTCTTTCTTGTCCAAATTTCTCAATATTCCATTATCATCTAAGTAGAACATATCTTTGTTTATCCAATATTTCTTAGCTATTGGACTGCATCTGAATATTGTAGCCTCTGATGGTTCTGTTTTGTCCCTGAACCATACCAGTATTAATTCCAAGTCTGGGTCTTTAGACTGATAATCTCGTAATTGCTCTGGTGAATAAGTACTAGCTTCTATACCTGTCTCAGTAATGGCATTTACATTTGGAAGGTCCAAATATGTCGCGTAAACTGACATACCAAGTGGTGTAGTGACTATTTCAACTGAACTGTGACAAACATTTTGATTATGGCTTACTGTATCTTGATTGGTACTGTCAAATACTTGTGGCTGGACCGGAGATGTACCTAAATTCTCATTCACGTGACTTGTCACGTTCTGGTCCCCGTCTTGTGATATTGAACTATCTGGTCTAGCATTGTCCTTTATAATAACATTTGTATGTTGTGTAATGTCCTGTTTCATTAATTTGTTCTCTGAAATCAAAGAACTCGGTAGTACTGTAAGTGGTCCTGTATTGTGTGTTTGCTCATAACTTTTACAGTCTTGATGTGAAGCTAAAGGAATAACGTTATCTACGTCTTCTTGAAAACCAAGCCAACTTTGGTGAGCACGAGTACAATAATCGCATGCTCCACAGGGTAGATTGTGTTTTAGCACGTTCCCAGCTGCTAATCTATTCTGTGGACAAGCTAAATCTGGCAGACGTGATAATGCGTCCGCATTTTGGTGTCTTTTACCTGGCCTGTGCTTTACTGTCATGTGATACTGGCTTAGCTCCTCTAACCATCGAGCTAGTTGTCCTTGTGGCTCTTTAAAGTGCAATAACCACGTTAAACTACTATGGTCTGTACGGACTATAAACTCTCTTCCTAAAAGGTAATGTCTATAATGTCTGGTGAATTTCACTACTGCAAGCAATTCTTTCCGTGTCGTGCAGTATCGTTTTTGCTCATGGGTTAATGAAAAACTTCCGTAGGCAACGGGACGCTCTACACCATCTTGTACTTGTATTAATTCTGCGCCAATTGCGAAATTGGAAGCATCTGTGTCCAAAATAAACGGATCTTTACTGTTGGGTAATGCCAATAACGGAGTTGTTGTCAATGCCTCTACAAGTTTGTCAAAAGCCTCTTGCTCTGAATCTCCCCATTTGTACGGTTTCTTACCGGTCAATTGATACAAAGGGTAGGATAAATCCGCAAAATTCTTGATGAAAGTTCTATGATAATTAGCAAAGCCAAGAAATTGTTCAACCTCTCTTGTTGTTGTAGGTTCTTTCCAGTTTTTAACAACTTCAACATATTCACTGCCAATTGCCATACCATCTCTATTGATTGTTCTGCCTAAAAAGTCTATTTCCTTTTTAAAGAAATCACATTTCCTGGGTTTCAATTTGAGCCCATACTCTCTGAAACGTTCAAAAACTGATCTTAAATTCTGTAAATGGTCTTCAAATGTCTTTCCCATTACTAGAATATCGTCCAGGAAGGCGAGTACAACATTCCATGTTAAACCTCTGAGAACGAGATTCATTACTCGTGAATATGTTCCAGGGGCATTGCAAAGTCCAAAACTCATACGGACAAAGTGGAATAATCCATATTTAGTGATGAAGGCGGTCTTTTCCTTGTCTGAGTCCTTCACTTTAATCTGATAATATGCACTATTAGCGTCCAATTTTGAAAACCATTCGTTTTCCGCCAAAGTGTCCAAACATTCGTCTATCAAGGGAAGCGGATATACATCTTTTTTCGTCACGGAATTCAACTTCCGGTAATCAATGCACCAGCGCACGTTGCCATCGCGCTTGCGCACAAGTACTGGGGCAGATGCCCATTCTGACATAGATGGTTCTATTATACCTGCATCTAACATTTTCTTTAAATGGCTTTCTTCTTCGTGTGCAAAACACATGGGTGTTCGTCTTATTCGTTGTTTGATAGGGCGCGCATCGCCTGTATCAATCTCGTGTTCAATGTGGTTAAATGTTCCCAAGTCAAAATCATCTAGTGCAAAAACATCAGCAAATTCATGAAGTAAATTTGCAACTTTGGACTTTTGGTCTTCAGCAAGTGTACTGGATTTATCCAATATGTTCTGCAACTGTTCCGGTAGTTTATTGTTATCTCTGGCTATTCCAGTTGTTGCTACTGACGGGGCTGGCCCCGTTTCAACAACATCAGCTTCAATTGCTTCGCCTAAAAGAGTTCCCTTTTGCAAAACTATCTTGTTGTTGGTTACATTAAGTAAACTAACACATGGCAAAGAACTAGCATTGTAATAACCACGTGGGATTAACAAATCTATCTCTTTATTAGGTTCAATTATAAAATCAGTTAATTCCGCTGACAAATCTGACTCTAATTGTACGACTGAATTAGGAGGTATGACTGTTCTATATGGAACGGTTATTTTAGCTACTCTTGCTATAACGTTCACAGGCGGTACCAGTCCAATATGTCCATGTACCATAGGTAGTGCTTCTCCATTGATGAAAAAAATTAATTTTCTGCAGTCTAAAATTACTTTTGCTTTGACTAGAAAATCAAGTCCTAACAGCATGTCATTATCAATAGGCGCAACATAAATATCTGTCCGATATGTTCTTTCACCAATTTGTAATTCAACTGGTCCCACTACAAAGGCATCCATGTGCATACCACGCCCTGCTGCCTGCATTGTTGCTTTTCTTTTCATGGGTGGTTTTTTGCTAAGAGATTCATAAACTTTGTCAGAAATGATTGTAACTTCTGCTGCGGTATCTACTACCGAAATTACAGGCTGTCCATGCACTTTTAAAGTGAATCGAAGCATAGATGCTGAGCCTAACTGGCAAATAGTTCCCCCTAAGTGTACGGGATCTTGCAACTGAAGGTCAATTACTTTCTGTAAATCATTATCAGGCTCCATTGTGTGTAATGGTGAATTAGACAGAGTATCTGTGGATGTTGACATGTCACATGTTTTCAACGGGGTAATCCCCGAAACAGGTGTCTTGTTTCTTTCGTTTGAAATGGTGTTTAACGTTAGGCGGTTAGGTGTGGTCTGAGTCAGGGTTCCGCCCTTTAGCCCGACTCTTTCTGGTTTAAATGGTCTGTGTAATTTTTTCCTGTTGATGAATGCAAGTCAGGACAGTCCCGTTGTATATGGCCAAACTGGTGACAGAAGTAGCAAGCCATATTTGCTAATTTTTCAGGTGGTATAGGTCCCCAGCGCCTTTTAAATGGCGATTGTCGCTGATTATCTTGCCTATTATCCCTGTTACGCCATTGTTGGCGATTACCTTGATTTTGTTGGCTGAATGGTTGGGTTGCTGGCTGGACTTCATGTTGAGCAGGAAACTGTTTTGCCTGCTGTTGTTTTTGAAGCTGCTGTTTAATGTCTCCAATTTCCTGCTTATGAAATGCTTCCATAGCAGTCATCTTTTCTAGCAGTGTGTCCATTTGTTTAGACAATTCGGACTTGGTGTCCGTCTTACCAATGGCGTGAACAGCTAGGTCGCTATCATAATCACTTGGTTCATCCTGATT